TGCGCAGGCCCTACCTGAGGTACCTCCTGGCGTGCTCGTTTTTGTGGCCCACCATGAGGTAGTAGCACCCCACCGCAAACCAGGACACCTGCGAGGTGAGTCACCGTGACCGAGCCGCGCCCCGACTCGACCAGGACCCCCACGTGGGCCGGGCCCGAGACCCCGCAGCCGCACCCCGCCGCCTGCACGCCCCACCACGGCGGCCCAGGAGCGGGGGCCGAGCGCCGCTCCCCTCCAGCGCCAAACCCGGTGGGACTTACGGGGCTGCTGGGATACAAGTCCACCAGCTTGTGCGAGAGGTAGAAGAGCTCTGTGTCGGGGAGGGAGGGGGGGTCAGGCAGCGGCCACCGGCCCGCCCTGCTGTCCAGGCGGGAGCCCCGCCCACGAGCCCACCCTGGCCCGGCCACAGGCTGGCCACAGGCTGTCCCGGCGGCCCAGCCCTGGTTCCCGAGAAGGTGCTCCGCCTCGGCGCAGGCCGCGGGGCTGGTCCAGCAGGCTGGCGGGTGGCCGCCCTCCCTGCCTTCTCAGTGTCCGATCCTCCTGCCGCCAGAAGATTCTGCCCCCAGCTAATAAGGGAGGCGCCACTTTCCCAGCCGCCCAGGCACGGCCGTGGGCACACACCTCCTGCCAGGCGTGGCCCGGCCGCACGGCGAGCCGCGCTAGGGGAGCCCTGAGCCGCACCGCCGGCTCCCGTCTCGCCTCGCCTCTGCTCGCCTCCCTGGGCGGAGACCCCCCCGCCCACTGCAGCTGCCCTCGCGCCCCTCGCACACCCTGCCCGGGCGCCTTTCGCCGTTCTGTGGGGCGGCCTCTGACCCCGCTCGTGCCCTGTTGGGACACACAGAGCAGGGTGACCGGCTGAACAGCGTCTGTGCGGGCTCGCCTGACGGCTCACCTGCCGGGCTCACCTGTCGGCTCACCTGATGGCTCACCTGTCGGGCTCACCAGCACCTCTCTCCAGCGTGCTGTCGGTTCAGGCTTTGCTTTTCCATGGGTTTGTTTTCAGGTCTTGTTTTCGTCACATCCTACAGTATTGCATATTCTCCTCAAAATTACACCTTTCACCCCTAAATGCTGCCTGTTCTTTCTCTGTTTTGCAGTGGAGGGTCGGCCCACACACCTTCTCTGCTGTTGCTCTTCCTTTGTGTCATACCTAATACTTGAAGTGGGAACTAAACCTTTCCATTATCACTAGGGGAAGTTTTCTGTTTAATTAAAACTCTGAGGAAAGTGGAAATTCTTCATTTTGGCCACCGCTCTGCAGCCCCAGGCGCCTGCCTCAGGGCTGGTCTGGACTGAGTCCAAGCGCCTCCCAACACCGGCTGTGGCCAGGGACGCCCGCCGTGGCCAGGGTCCAGGCGACGAGCCGGCCACGTGTGGGCGAGTGCAGGTACATCGTGGTCCATGTCTAAGGGCCGGTCCTTTAGTGGACCTCTGTGGCCACTGTTGACTCCCCAGCACAGACCCAGCCTAACCGGAGAGGCCTCAGCACTGGCGTGGCCAGGGACTCGCCTGTCCTGGCCTGCGGGGGTGCGGGCTGGACGCATGTTAGCCGCCTGGGCCGGTGGCCTGTTGTATTTGGGAAGTGGAAGATGTTTAACAGACTGGAAACTAAGTTCCACAGAATCTTGGGTGTCAGGAGGTAGTTTCAGCAAGGAGAGTTTGTCTGCTGCAAGGAGGTACGGATCTTAGCCCCTCGGCCCCGCGACGCCAGCTCCGTGCCTCGCTGTGGGCGAGCCCTGACCTGCTGCAACCTCTGTCCCTCAGCTCGGCCCTGTCCTCCTGCTACAGCCGGGTGTACCAGAGCCTCGCCAACCTCATTCGCTGGTCTGACCAAGTGATGCTGGAAGGTGTCAACTCCGAAGACAAAGAGATGGTGACCACGGTGAAGGGGGTCATCAAGGCCGTGCTGGACGGAGTGAAGGTAGGGGCGGCCGGGCAGGGCCCAGCTGCTGCCCCGCAGGCGGCCCCCTTCGGGCCTGGGCTCAAGGCCTCCCAGCACCTGGGCAGCACTGGTCAGCTGTTGTCCCTTTCTCTGGGGTGCCAGGGCCCCGCAGCCACGAGAGCTGCCAGGGGCTGAGGCCTGTGCTGGGCGTCGTCGGGAGCGGAGCGGGTGTGGGCGAGCTCGGGCAGCGAGAGATGGCGTTGGCATCGCCTCGGACAGACCCCGCACGTCGGCAGCTTCCTCTCCGCACTGAACACCTGCTGGGGCTCCCGGTAGGAGCAGGGCCGGGACGAGGGGAGTGGCTGGCTGCCGAAACCCCCGACGCGGCGTGCAGCCGGACTGGCCAGTGCCCGTGGGCCGCTGGCTCGGCGCTCCGTGCTCGGTCACCTCACCTGTGAAGCGGGCGCCGTGGGGGCCGCGCAGGGCCGCGGAAGCGCAGGGCGGTGGCATGCGGGGGCCCAGGCCCCACTGCTCGCTGCCGCTTGCGCGGCGCTGGGGGCGCAGGTCTCGGCGTGGGAAAGCGGCGTCCTCTGGGGACCCCCCCACGCAGGCGTAATTGAGGCCGTCGCACCCCAGGTGTAAAGTGATGCCTTCCCGGGAGCTCAGCCCCGTCGCCACGCGCCGGATTCCCGAGCGCTGCCTCCGGACCCGCCCTCCCCAGGAGCTTGGGGGTGGGCTCGGGACCCCCGGAGCGTGCCGGTCAGCAGGGGAGGCCAGGCAGGCAGCGCTGGCCGCGGGC